ATATATACGAGTATATACAAACTTGATATTGAACTAAACTTCCCTCCCTCCCCTTCCCCCGCACCCAGCAATCACCACTCATGCTGCAGAGGAGGCAGGTAACGAGGGAGGTCCTAGACTGAGCAGCAAATCAGAACTGGGTATAGGAGCTGGATTTGGGAATTCAGGGATCAGAATCAAGGGCAGAAGGAGTACTCCTTGGACATCGGCCACTGAAGAAAGGGCTTAACCCTCACGATCCCTTATATTTATACTGAGTATGGTGTAACTGGAATGGAATACTTTTGTTGGTCAGATTTGGATCACTTGTCCTGTCGGTTCCTCCCCAGAGGTGCGATCCTTTTACTTTCTTGAAACCTCTTTTGCTTCCTGGCACCCATTTGGTATATAAAATTTAGTGGTGACCTTGGTCACTACAGGAGCAAGTATAAGCAAGAGCCCTTCTGCATACCAGTCTCTGGTAGCAACTATAAGCATTGGGCATTATCACTTCTAGTAGCAGACACTGTCTGCAAAAATGTGCTGTTACCTTCAGAAAGTGCAGCCTCTTAGAAGAGACTGAGTTGAAAAGTAAAATGACTGAACAGAATTGGTTCAGTTTAACTTAAACCAGAATGCTAGTTTAAGAATTGAATTTAATTGCAATAGCCCAGTAGCTACACTGTTATTATTCTGAGACAGAGAGGAATTGAATGTCTATGTCATTTCCTACTTTTTGCAAGCTTTTAAGGGGAGAAGAGAGGCTGAGTGCAGTAGCAGACTCTCACCCTTGAGAGCTTTTTCTATGGCTAGTGCAGGTTCACATGGATGTAGAAAATATAGAAAAATGGAACAGGTAGGCAATGCTTGCCTGTCTTTTTGAGGTGTCAGCAGTTGATGCATATAAGAGTGGCTGCCATATGTCATCCTTGTAGTAAGTTTACATCTGATAAACCTGGTATCTGAAAATGATTTGGAATTTGTGTTTCTCAGCAAAAAGAAATCTATTAGTTTTTCACAGATTTGCAGTATTCTAATCACACTTTTCCTGGAAATAAACTTTTTTTATAGGTACGACATGACCTTGCCAGAAAAGTTTTTGATTGCTGCAGTATTATGATGAAGAATGACTATAAAGTGACAATTTATCTGCTTCCACACATCCTTGTCTATGTTTTGTTGGGATGCAGTCAAGAGGATCAACAAGAGGTGAAAAATTTAAAATAGTGATGTTCTTTGTAGGAATGTTCAGGACCTGTTCTTCCTAGGGGGCTGGTTAGCTCAGTCAGTTGAGCATGGCGCTAACAACGCCAAGGACGCGGGTTCGATTCCCATTCGGTCCCCATGTGTTGCCTGATCTAGTCGAGAGGTTGTGTCCCTGGCGACAAGGAGGCTGGATTAAAATGATCTCTAAGGTCCCTTCCAGCCTAGGCGTTCTATGATTCTAAAACCTATTCAGTTCTGCAGAATTAAGGTAGACCTACAGGAACAAATTGTGTAGATGTTGAACTCCTTTCCCTATATTAATAATACAGATTTTCTGCCAGGTTTTTGAATATACTCACACAAGTTTGTGTTGAACTGCTTTCCTGTAGGTTTTCATCTACTTCTTCAGTAGGGCCTAGGTTGAGGTATTATGCGGTTAATTATGACTGCAGTAACATCAAGAGCTAGAGTAACAGAGCTGGTACAAAGAGGAAGCGAGTGGAACACAAATAAGGAATAGATTGAACTCGTATACTTCCAAGGATTCAGACACATATCTTTTTCTTTCCCTTGTATATGCTTACAAAATTGTAAATGGGGAAACTGTTTAGCTACCAGATTCATGCAAAGCAGAATTCATAGATATCTTATAGAAAAGCAGGGACAGGAGGGAAAAGAGTCATCCAGTCTGCTCTCCTTCAGTTTGCTTTAGCAAAAGTTGAAGAGGCTGAAAACTATGCCTTGCCTTGTATTAATTTGAAATTTCACAGCAAAGATATCTTCTTTTAAACATTGCGGGTATGCAGAGATGCGTGAAGATTTTTGTTGTGTGAACAAGTACATCCACAATAAGCATCTGTTATGTATGTTAAGTCATATTCTGTTGTCTAAAAAACAAACAAGAAGCAGGTCTTTCAGCATACTATTTACTTAAAAGTAGCCAAGAAGTAGGTCTGTGATCTGGTAGCTGGTAGTTAACTTGACTCCTCACAAAACTTCAAGTCTTGTGTTTGCGGTTGAACTCTAGTAGCATTTGTTGTCTTGTAACCTAAAATTCTAGTAATCATGATGGTTATTCCAAATCCAAGGGTTTGCTTTTCAAACACTTTCTCGCTGTATGGACTCTCCGGACAACTGCTACTTGGTTTACCATTTCTTCATCTTAAGATTGTGGGACAAACAGAGCTTACAAATAAGTTCTGTTATTAAAATACACAATTAAAGTATCTAGTGTTTTAGTTTTGTGTTAATTGCTATTTCCTACTATTTTTATGTCTGTATAGCACTTCTGTCTTTTATTATATTGTTTGTCTAGGTTTATGTGGAGATTATGGCTGTTCTGAAACACGATGACCAGTCTACCAGGAGACTTGAAGACAGCGCATCAGATCTAAGTCAGCTGAGCACACAGACTGTGTTCTCCATGCTTGATCATCTAACTCAGTGGGCTAGACATAAGTTTCAGATACTTATTGCTGAGAAAAATAATAGCAAGTCTAGCAGAGACAGAGGTGATTTAAAAAGTGAGTGATGTAAAGTGTTTTTTACATTCTTGAAATAGGTATTTAAATTTGCCACTTAATAATTGACTGTTTAAGAAGGCAATATTACTATAGTATGTTAGTCTGCTTTATGATTTCTTACTCTCTTACTGTGATTTTAACCTCCAAAACCATTGCTTAATGCCCATTGCGAGAAATACACTTTCAGAATTAAAAAATGAAATGTTAATTTCTTGATAGTTTACTAAAGGTTTGGTTTAACACATTCCGTGCTGTCTTGAAAGATGTAGGAAGTTCACCGTGATTGTTATGAATAAATTATTGTTTACAGGGTAGAAAAATGTGTTCTTAAATTAATCAGAGTATCTCACTATGTTATTAAATTAATTAACTGAATTTTGATACATAAGGTAATTCTTGTAAAAGAAATCTCAATTGACAGACCTTTTAAAATTTCTGTTTTCTATAGCATCAAGTGAAGACTATGGAGAGTATCAAAATGTGACACGTTTTCTAGACCTCATACCTCAGGATGCACTAGCTGTGGCTTCCTTTCGCTCTAAGGCGTACACAAGGGCTGTGATGCACTTTGAATCATTCATCACAGAGAAGAAACAAAATATTCAGGAACATCTTGGATTTCTTCAGGTTCTGAAGTTCTTTTTGGTTTTTATTTGTTTTATTTTAAAATGAAAACAGGCTTAGATAAATAATGCTCTGCCAAAGTCTTCTTTGATTTGCAAAGAAAAGAGATACTCAGGCTCTTGCCATTGGATACAAGTGTTAAGTCATCTATCAGCAAAACGTAGTACTTCCCCTTGCTTGGCGTGCTTCTTAATTAAAAGGGAAGGAGTAGCTTTCTAATGTGTATTGAAAGATTGTAAAATCCTGAAAATAGTTAAATGGGCTTTTGTTGTAATTGCAGCATATGCTGCTTTTAGTTAACTCTGTGCCTTTTTTCAGAGAAAACACAGCCAACTATAATAACAAAAACCAACCCAACCAAAGCACTTTTGAAGGAAAGCTGAATGGCTTATTCTAGAGAAATAGCTAGTGCTGAAGTTGTTTAGAACTATTTAAATTATTTTTAAGAAGTATTTTAGCCTGTAGGATGAGCCTGTTTGTGGTTTCTTGTGATTTATATTCCTCAGTGATACTTCAAATTTGAAAATCTTAGTATATTGCTTTTCCATCTTAAGTAATCTGCAGATTCATGTTATACCACTTTATCATATAATAATAGGATATTTGTTTTGCCCTTATATACAGATTGTTTCAGTTAACTTGATAGGTTATTCTTTGTTATTCTTTCTGTAGTATGATCATGAATATTGCCATATGCTAAGTAAACGTAGGGCTCAACTTTGGAAGTAGCAAAACTGACATTTTCCATGAAAGCTTAGTGCCAAGAAGTCTTACAGAGCAGTTTATTCTCCATTTTCAAGAAAGTGTGTGATTCTGAGCATGTTATATATAAAATAAGTTCTTGTTATCTTAGATTTATTTTTAATGTCCATTTCCAATTCTGTTTTGATGAAGAAACTGTATGCTGCTATGCATGAACCAGATGGAGTAGCTGGGGTAAGCGCAATTCGGAAAGCAGAACCATCTCTCAAAGAGCAAATCCTTGAACATGAAAGTATTGGCTTGTTAAGAGATGCAACAGCCTGTTATGACAGAGCTATCCAGCTAGAACCTGATCAGGTAAATACAAGACAAATTATTGGTTTTTTAAAAAAAATCTTTTTAAATAAAAAGATTAAGCCAAAAATACTGCTTTGGTGTATTTAAGTAGAATCAGAAGATAAGAGTTTATTGTGGCAGTTGCTGATTGATTATTCCTGTTTTAAGTGTCTTAAGAACTGAAACATATCTCTTGCTGGGTTTATACTGTAATTTTTAGGCTTTGGTTAATAGTTGGATGCTTATGCTTGGGTTATGCTAGGACAGGTTACCAGTTAAAGTTCAGCCTTTGCTTGGAAAGGCCTGGAACTGGGATTGCTTAAGTATCAGTCAGTACTGATACATGCCAAGAGAACTATTAAAGCAAGTTACCACAGTTTTAATTGACAGAAATTCTGACTTACTGTTTTTTATTATTGATTTCCAGGGAAAATGTGCATAATAGAAGAGTAATTGGAAATTGATTAAAAGAACCTTACAATTATTTGTCTTCTGTTTCCCTTTTTCTTCCTTTATTTGAAACATATAAGGTACTGTAAAGCTGAGCAGTACTGGAAAAATATCATACTTTCCATATGCCAAAGTGAATAACCAGAGATGTCATAATAAATGCAAAAAGAAAGTTGAAGACTTGTATTATCTTTTCTACATTTGAAATTGGTTAAAAGTTTCCTAGACTAGGATGTCCCTATGGGTTCTTGCACTTCCCTTTGAAACAGAGATAACACAGCTGATAGCAAGTATAGTAGAGTGTTTTGATGGCCTAGATTCACTCCCAGGCAGAGAGGGACCTGAAGGTGTTGATGGACACTGGCTGAACATGAGCCAGCAGTGTGCCCAGGTGGCCAAGAAGGCCAACGGCATCCTGGCTTGTATCAGGAACAGTGTTGTCAGCAGGAGCAGGGAGGTGACCATTCCCCTGTACTCAGCTTTGATGAGGCCTCACCTCGAGTGCTGTGTCCAGTTTTGAGTCCCTCACTACAAGAAGGACCTTGAGGTGCTGGAGAGGGTACAGAGGCAGACTATCAAGTGAGTAAAGGATTTGGAGCATGTGTCGCATGAGGAATGGCTGAGGGATCTGGGGCTGTTTAGCCTGGAGGAGACTGAGGGGAGACCTTATCACTCTACAACTACTTGAAAGGAGGTTGTAGCGAGATGGGGGTTGATCTGTTCTCCCTAGTGGCGAGTGATAGGACAAGGGGAAATGGTCTTAAGTTGTGCCAGGGGAGGTTCAGGTTGGATGTTAGGAAGAACTTCTTTGCTGCAAGGGTTGTCAGGCATTGGAAAAACCTACCCAGGGAGGTGGTTGAGTCACTGTCCCTGGAGGTGTTTAAGGGACGAGTGGACTTTGTGTTGTTTAGTTGGTTCATAGGGCTGGACCAAAGGCTGGACTTGATCTTCTAGGTCTCTTCCAGCTGATAGAATTCTATGATTCTATGAAAACATTTTTGTGAAGAGTGGAACTGTGTTTTGGGCCTTGGGGTTATTTCCTTCTTGTGACTTTTTTCTGCTTGTTGTTGTTTGTTTCTTTAAAACAAATTTTTATTCACAGCTCTGATATGGATATTAATAAATTAACATCAAATTATATTTGTGGTGAAGCATGTTTCAAAAATTGCCAGTGGTGATATAAGTTCTCTGGTAAATGTAGACTTCTTTTATTTTTGAATGTTCATTTAGCTTATGGTGCAATTGGTTATATCTTTTCATATTATAAAAAGCATCCAAATAGACATATTTCCTCCTGCAGACTACCATGAATTTCATGCGCAGTTTCTTTAACATGTGCTTGTTGGTTTTTTTCCCCTTCTGTTTCTAGATTATTCATTATCATGGTGTAGTGAAATCCATGTTAGGCCTTGGTCAGTTATCTACTGTAATTACTCAGGTCAATGGAGTGCTTGCAAACAGGTACTGTAGGCATTTAATACAATGTTTATTTAAGTAATATGAAACTCTTATGTTATAGTTGTGTCTCTGTAGCCATTTTTGTGTGTTATCAAGAATTCGAGGCTTACCAAGCACATGCAATTAGCAATGTGAAGCTAGAAAACTTTAATTACTTTTTTTATTAATTTTTATTTCAAGACGTCCACAAATGTTAGTACTTTCTGTCTGCACTATGTACAGTGTTGAAAAGTGTTTAAGTTTGTTAAACTGAATCTTTCATTTATTCTCCTGCATGTTCCTGGGTCCATAGCTACTCTGTATCTTAATAGGATAAATGGATAGGAAGATAGTCGTTTTTAGAATGTGCCATAAAAGTTAAATACATTACTTGGTAATTGAATTTGTTGTTGTGGAGCTGTTGTTATCGGTGCATATCCTTTGGCTTTATTGAATTTTATTAAAAGCAAGCTTACTTTGCCTCAAGTAAGAAAAGTTTTATATAAAGAATATTTGCTAATATAATGTAGAATTGACATACTGGGGGGGAAGGAAAGAAAATTAGTTAATCACAGACTTTCATTGGCTTTATTTTTCTTTAATAGGTCTGAATGGATTTCTGAATTGAACACTTACAGAGTGGAAGCAGCCTGGAAACTGTCACAATGGGATTTACTGGAAAATTATTTGGCTTCGGGTAAGTTATCATGATAACAAAATATGAGTATTTCTCACATTTCTGAACAAGTGTTATGTTTTACTCTAATCATTTTTAATTAAAGGGTAGCTGTTGTAATTTTTTAGTCTTGGGTTCTACTCGAGGAGGAGGGTTGGTTCTCAGTCTTCTAGGTTTTATAAATATATTTGATAGTACTGTGTAGTCTTTGAGTAGGAATTTCAAGTGAGTGTAAGGTGAGATTTCTTCTGTGTGTGTTTGGATTTGGAGGGGGCTGGATTGTAGGATGAAATTATACAGTATTTCTAAAATTCAGCTAATTAGCTCTGAGAAAAACATATTTTTCAGTAGTATGTTAAGACAAATTAGCATGTTCAAATTAAGCAGCTTGAAGAAACAGAGTTTGAGAGGCGGCTTTTTTTTTTTCTCCCCAAAGATGTGAAGTCCACTACATGGAGTGTCAGACTAGGACATTTGTTGTTATCAGCCAAGAAGAAAAATGAAGCAGCTTTTTATGAAACACTCAAGGTTGTTCGAGCAGAACAGATTGTACCCCTTTCAGCAGCAAGTTTTGAAAGAGGATCCTATCAGCGAGGATATGAACACATTATCAGGTTTCTGATTTTCATGCCACTATTTTCAAATTCAGAAATCATATAATCAAGTATGCAGAAGCAAGAATTTTGCATTTCCACAATAAATGGTACTGACGTGTGTTTTATGACACTTTCTTTTTTTTTTTAAATACTCACCTAGCTGGTAACCTTTGATTCATTGGGAATTTATATTCACAATAAAACTGTTAGGTACAGTCTTTCAACGTCGGCAAGCAAGTTTATACAAACATCAGTAATACAAATCAACAATTTAATTCTGTGCTAAAAGTAGCACACATAGGCAAATAACTCCATTAACTGAAGAGCATTGCTTTTAATCTGTTTAGTTACCTAAAAGCACTCCCTACTTTTATCAATAAAATGCTATAAGAATTGAAACCACGTCCCTTTCCATAGTTTTACTTTTTGATAAACTTTGAACTTGGCTATGGCAGATTAGAAATGAGTAGCCCTTTTTTATTGGTAAAGGCTTAGTACTTCTGCTTTGTAAATGCATCCTTATGGCAAGATAATGCATGAAACTAGCCAGTTGAAGTATATATTTCTTCATTACTCCTTAATATTTCTTAATTACTTCATAATTCTGCTTTCTGTTGGTATTTTTGCAGTGTTACTTTATTTAGGACATGAAGTTTCAGTTTTGAGAAAGAAGAGTTTCAAAATAGTTCAGTTTAGCCGTTGATCTGGGCTACTCGGAAGCCTTCAGTCGATGTTTCTCTATCTGATATACCCACTTCTCTTAGATTCTGCCAATGAGAACTGTGGTGTTTACAAGCTCTCAGCTTTGTAGCTTCATAGTGACAGCTAATAATAATTGTATTTTTAAATAAATATAGTAACTTTATTATATAGGAGATGTTTAAGTAATGGTATGTTGCCTCTAAAATGGGATTTTTGAAAGTAATGGATAAAAAAAATTTCAAAAGATTCCGCCTAAAGAGGAAGTAGACTTCCTGTCCAATTGATCTTTGTTGTCTCCATATTCAGAAACTTAGCAAAGGAATAGTGAGAGAATAACTAATCAGTTTACAAATCCTTGATTCTCTGTATTTGGTTTTGCTGCATATTTGCTTTTAAAAGAAATCCTACTATTTGAAATTACTTACATGGCTAGCTTTTAGAATGAAAAAGGCAAAAGCTTTGTAAAACTTGCATATATCTCAACCAGCAACCAATTTTCAACAACTTTTTGAGTTTATTTTACTATCACAGGCTGCATATGCTGTGTGAATTGGAACATAGTATTGGACCAATGTTTCAGCAACTACATGATGACCATGGTAGAGATTCCCTGAATTGGTGTGCTCGTATTGAAATGACTCAAAACTCTTACAGAGCCAAAGAACCCATTCTAGCCCTGAGAAGGGCTTTGCTTAGTCTCAGTAAAAGGTGAGAACATGACTATTTCTTGTCTACGTTGTATTTTCATAGAATCATAGAATCATAGAATGGCCTAAGATGGAAGGGACCTTAGAGATCATTTTAATCCAGCCTCCCTGCCGCCAGGGACGCCACCTCTCGACTAGATCAGGCAACACATGGGGACTGAACGAGAATCGAACCCGCAACCTTAGCGTTGTTAGTGCTACGCTCTACTGACTGAGCTAACCTTTTCAATAATATTCTAGTTTTCCTATGCATGTTAGAAGAGAGAAGCTAACACTCTGTGGAAATTTATGTTGTAGACAAAAGCAATCTTCTCCAGTATTACTAAGTACCATCAAAATAGGTGGGAAAAGTCATCTCTGTAGGAAAGACAAGGGAGAAATGGGGGAAGGGTATTTGTTTCTAGACCTAAATGAAAAAAGGTGGAACAGGTGTATTAGAAATAATTTTAAGTTATCACTGTATAGTATTTAGCTTACTGAGGAATTTTGTGTTTTGACACATTTTTGGTATTTACTGCAGATTGTAAAGTAGAGTAATGACTGAAATTTTTCATTTTCTCCAAAAATGTCTTTGCAGCCAGGATTACAGTGAGCTTGTTGGTCAGTGTTGGCTCCAGAGTGCTAGAGTTGCGAGAAAAGCTGGTCATCACCAGACTGCTTATAACGCTCTTCTGAATGCTGGGGAATCTACGCTCTCAGAACTTTACATAGAAAGAGCAAAGTGGCTCTGGTCCAAGGTAAAGAAAATAAAAATGGAAATTACCTTCTTACAATGCAAGAAAGTAATCCTCAGTTGTCTTCAAGAAAAACAGGTACACAATCAGTATACATAGAATGAAATACGTGATCTGGGACTATCAACACGTTCTGACTGAAGCTGAGCCATGGGAAGTCTTTACCTCTGACTGCTAGTCAGCCGTTTTCTGTATCCATTGACTTTTCTGCCAGCTGTGCATAAAGCTAGTGGATTCCCTGCCCCAGTTAAGGCAAATTTAAATTATTTTAATAATAGACCTCTCCTTAATTTGTATCTTTTTAACTAAAAGAGGTAGGTAGCAAACATGGGAGCAGTTCCTGTAGTAAACCTAACGTGACAGCGATGCTAAGATAGGCATTTGAAGTCAGTGATACTCAGTTACTGCAGACAGAATGGTCTAGAACACACTCAGGAACACAGCTTTGCTTTAATAACAACTGTAAGTTACAAGTTTTACGTCTTTCTTATTTAAAGTACATAAAATGTTTTCATTTTTCCCTTAGGGTGAGGTTCATCAAGCACTCATTGTTCTACAGAAGGGAGTTGAGTTATGTTTCTCTGAAAATAAAGCACAGTGCAATAGCAAAAATCAGCTCATCCATGGTCAGGCAATGCTGCTAGTGGGCAGATTTATGGAAGAAACTGCTAACTTTGAAAGCAATGCGGTTATGAAAAAGTATAAGGTAATTTGGTATACTAGAGTTAAAAAGACAGTGGCTTTGAGTAATGGTAAAAATATATCCCTTAAATAAGCCATCATTATGCTTCTGATGATGTCAACCAAGGATAACATCAGTGGGATTAAATGGTGTATTAATGTGTAAGAAGGACGTGGTGGTTCTTGTCTGAAATAGCTTTAATATAACATGTCAGTATAGAGAAGTCCACAGTTCCCAGCACTGGAAGCTAAAAATACCTGATGTATCTCTTTTAAAGTAAAAAATTACAAGAGCATGGCTTCTTTCTTACACATGCACAAATTAGAGCTCCTTACAAGTGTGGACTACTCTAAATAGACAATGAGGTAACACATTGTGATACACTTCAGTGTTACTTCTCTCTCTGGTAGGACTTAAAACTGTACTTTAATATGCTTTCAGTCTCTGAAAAACTAGGAAAAGAGGCAACTGATATGCTTCAACACCGTAGCACTACACTGCTTCCTCTTGCTATGCCATTGAAATATTATTTTGGCATTGGTTGATAATTGGCTGCTACTTTACCAGTAGGAGGTGAAGATATTAGGCTTCCTTAAAAGTAGTATGTTTCCTATCCAAGTTTTGGCATTCGATACTATTAATGCTTACTGCTGTCTTACCAATTGAAATACTTCTGTATGAGTCACTTAGAGAAAAATTTAATGGGTATCAAATCAAATGAAGGTTGAAATAATGGAAACTAGTGACATTTTGTTGGATTACATTAAAATATAAAACTTAGAATTCTCTGCTAAGTATTGGCACTGGAAACAAGCCAGTGTTATTAGAGAATGGATGTGCTACTTGCTAAGTTATTTGTTTTCTAATATATGTCACACAATTTTTTGTTTTAAACATGATTTAGAAGGAAAACAGAAGTGGGGAAAAACAGAATCATATAGGTTAAAAAGAACCTTTAAGATCATTGAGCACAACCGTTACCATCCTGCTGTTTCACTTTTCAAAAAACTGAAAGAAACTCAATACTGAGTTTATCAGAATCAGGAACTTGATTACAATATATTTAATGGAACTATAATCTTTCCTATTTGAAGAATCGTATACCATCCTGTCTTGAATTAACTTGATGTCTCCAAATATAAAAGTATTTTTAAAACAAACTTCTAGTTTGCACCAGCATTTATCTCAGAGGGCAAAATTACAATTTCTGGAGTTACAAAGTTACAATAAATACTTTTTTTTGCACATACTTGCACAAAGGTAACTTACAAGATTCTTGTTTCTTGAGGGTTTTTTAATTATTGTTTTATTTCTTTATTTTCAGTTTAGCATCCTCTCAAGATATCTCTTTTTTATTTTGTTGCAGGATGTTACGATTTTCTTGCCAGAATGGGAAGATGGACATTTTTATCTTGCTAAATACTATGATAAATTAATGCCAATGGTAACTGACAACAAGATGGAAAAACAAGGAGATCTGATTAGATACATAGTTCATCATTTTGGGAGGTTAGACCCTAGGGGAACTTTGCTTAGTTTTTATAGAAAGAGTCATCCTATACTAAAAGAAAAAAAACATCTGACAGGAATATATTTTCTTTCAGCAATTTGGACTGACTTCAATTTTTATGTGGTATTGCAAAACAAAATATACATACTTTCTTTTTGTTTTCATACCTAATGAATTTTACTTCTGCCTAGTGACTAAGCAGTTGTCTGTCTTAAATAAGAGTTGTTTCATCTGCAGTTTTGATTAATAAAACCAAAACCTTTGTATATTAATAAGCTTTTTGTTGTTGCAGATGCATTAAAATGCTGAACATAGATTTCTAAAGTCTAGAATGGAATGTGAAAGAAATAAGGATATAAAATTTGTAATACTTCTAAAATGTGTCAGTAACGTGCTGTGATTTAAACACATAATCACAGGTCTCTACAGTATGGAAACCAGTTCATCTATCAGTCAATGCCAAGAATGCTCTCTTTGTGGCTGGACTTTGGAGCGAAGGCCTATGAATGTGATAAAGGTAGAACATTTTTTCACAGGCATGCTTCCTGTTTAATACTTCTGAATATATGGCTATTATATATGAATATTCTCTGCTCTGTGAGACTGCATCTGGGGTACTGTGTTCAGCTCTGGGTCACCAAACATAAAAAGGACATGAAACTATTGGAGCAGGTCAAGAGGAGGCCACAAAAATGATCAGGAGGCTAGAGGACCTCCCCTGTGAGGATAGACTAAGAGAGCTGGGGCAGTTCAGCCTGGAGAAGAGAAGGCTTCAGGGAGACCTTTTAGCAGCCTTCCAGTACTTAAAGGGTGCTACAGGAAACATGAGGAGGGACTCTTTATCAGGGAATATAGAGACAGGTCAAGGGGTAATGGTTTCAGACTGAAAGAGGGTATAATTTGATTAGATCTTAGGAAGAAATCCTTTACTGTGAGTGTGGTGAGACAGCAGAACAGGTTGCCCAGAGAAGGTGTGGATGTCCCCTCCCTGGAAGCATTCAAGGCCAGGTTGGATGGAGCTCTGAGCAACCCGGTCCAGTGGAAGGTGTCCCTGCCCGTGGCAGGGGCGGCACAAGATGATCTTCAAGATCCCTTCCAACCCCAAACCATTCTATGATTTTATGATGTATGATTCTATGGAAGATCAGTAAAGTATATTTTTAGGCTTATTGGCTGAGATTATACGCAAGCAAGTATAATTATTCTTTTAAATTGCAAGATGTTAATAGGAGAATATTAATAATTTTAATTAAATCCTGCAGAACTCCTTTTTTTGAATAATGACATAACATTGTTCTTCAGATAACTTAATAAACAAATTTTGGGAAAATCCTTTCGTGTCACCTATCACCTCTTCAAAGTTGACTCATTAATAATGAGCACTTGTTTTATATGCACTTGCTACAGTAAAATGTTACGCTTTAGGGGCTTTCTACCAATTTGTCTTGATTGCAGTTGTTGAAGGAACTTTACTGAAAATTAAATGAAAGAAGAAAGTCTTGTAGGCAGCATCAAGTCATGTGAAGCTAGATGCATTTTGGGTGGCAGATGAAATTGCAAACATTGCCAGCAGATCTGGAGTGAAGCAGACAGTTGTGGCTTCTTGATCCCGAGCTGGTTCTATACACTGAAGTCAACTGAATTTGGCTGCTGCTTTCTGTGGTGCTGATGCTTCTCATTCTGATGCTTCTTATGCTGGGTCCTCAGGGGCAGGGGTGGACATAGGAGCAGATACGCTATTTTCAGCCCTTGTAAAAAGACTTTCTTAATTTCCTTTCTGCTAAAGAACATTGGAATTTATTTACTGAGGAAACCCAATGGCGTGTTTCTGTTTTGTTCTGTGCTATTGCATCGCTTTAGAGAAGTAATAGATGTTTTATTTTAGGAGTATGAGGAGAGCGCTTTTCTAATACCATGTATTCCATGTTCCTGTTGCCTTTGCTTGTTTGTTTCTCGTTACTCCAGTTAGCATATGTACTAAGTCATTTTATGCTGTGTTATCAAGAACGTTATAGTAAGAGCTTTTCCTTTTCTTTGAGTTTTTTTTACATATGAAACTATGTTTCTGTAGGCTTGATTTAAATGAGTTTACATTTCCAATGGAAAAAAGAAGAATATAATCTTGTCCTTTTGTGTTTTTCAGCTAGTCGTTCAGAACGTGTTCAAATGAAAAATGATTTAGCTAAAATAAATAAAGTGATTACAGAGCACGCAAATCATTTGGCACCTTACCAGTTTCTGACAGCTTTTTCTCAGTTAATCTCCCGAATCTGCCATTCTCATGATGAAGTCTTTGCAGTTCTGATGGTGATTGTTGCTAAAGTGTTTTTAGCCTATCCACAGCAAGCAATGTGGATGATGACTGCTGTGTCGAAGGTATCTTGATAAGCATAGCTACGCCTTTATTTAGCTTCTAGATATGTTTTCATCAGAGAGAAATGTGAAAATAACCTATTTTACTTTAAGATAAGAAGGAATTGAGATTTTCAGTCTAAAGTTCAGATTACAGTTTACCTGTTCCTAATTAGAATGCTAACATGCATCCTGACTTGTATGGTGTATTAGGAAAGGAAATTTGAATGACAAATAGCTGATGCATTAGGTAGTTATGGACAACGGATTTTGTTGGTTTTAATAATGGTAATAGCATTTCCAGTTTTATAATGAAATAATCGACTCTCCGCCTTGATTAAAATGAAGTAGATATACTACTTAGTCCTTATACCCAGTACTAAGGTAATTTGAAAGCATGTTGCATACTATTTCTTTAAGGCTGGTGAAATAACATTCAGGATACACTAGCGTATTCTTGAATATTGGCCTTTATGTTGTGGAACTCCCAAGGGTGGTTTTGGAAAATAATAACGCAGACACACACACTCCCCAGCCGTACCGCTTCAGTACTTGTTCAGGTACGAAATTTCATTTGGAGAACATCCTTTTCCATACCTTACATAGGACAAGCAATAGGTAGAGAAAAGAATATATTAATTGTGTGTGTGTGTGTGTGTTAGGATTCTTTTTTTTTTTACTGTTGTTTAATAAATTTTATCTCTCTTCTTTTTTCAGTCCTCTTACCCTATGCGTGTCAACAGATGTAAGGAAATTCTAAACAAAGCTATTCACATGAAGGAATCGTTAGGAAAATTTATTGGAGATGCAACGCGTCTAACAGATAAGCTGTTAGAACTATGCAACAAACCGGTATTTACAAAAAAATAAATTAATGCATGTAATAGGATTATTGAAAAACATTATACAAAAGCTGCTTCTCTTAGCTTTCGTTAGCCAATTCATTACATTACTGCAATTTAACAGAAACTAACTTGTAAAAGTTTTTTTTAACTTAATAAAAATACAAAAACCAGTAGAAAATAGCTCTAAATTGAGCACATAGAATATTTCAGTACATAATGGTAAATCTCACTGTGTGTGGACTTTACATTGTTTTATGTTTTCATGTATGATTCTTGCACAGTAACTTTCACAGAGTTTTACTATAAAAGTATATTTGTTGGGTTTTTATGAAAAAATGAACTTGGTAATTTATTTTAGTTTTACCTTTATTCTTTCATTAGTCTGTATTTACATTCAGCATGTAAAACACAGGTGCCGTAAAGGTCAGATATATTTACTTTTGACCACTCCCATTTAATTTCAAATGTAATTTTCCATTTTTCTTATTACAGTAAGCATTTATTATTCTGTTCATTAGTTAATGTGAAATAGTAGTAGTATTTTAAGAGTTTACAGTAAACTTTTGAACAACTTGTTTTTTCCAAGGTTGATGGAAACAACTCAACATTAAGCATGAATATTCATTTCAAAACACTTAAGAGATTAGTAGAAGAGTACACATTTAGTGAAATTCTCATCCCCTTACAATCTGTAATGATACCAACTCTTCCTTCAATTCCTGGTACACATGCTAGCCATGACCCTTTTCCTGGATGCTGGGCCTACATTGCTGGCTTTGATGATACGGTAAGCCTCCAGCTGGCACCTTGTTTTAAGCTTCTTGTTAAACAAATGTAGCTGCAAATACATCTTGGTTCCCTAAAAATGGAGGAGTGAGTAGGAAACTTCATAATGGCTTTCATGGAAATTGGGCGGCCTCTGTCATAACAAACTGAGACAGATATGGCCTCTTAGTACTTAGGTAAAGCTTTGGCCTGAGGTTATTATGCTGTAGCACCATGGAAGTGCTAACACGGTTGATTGCAGTAATTTATTACAGATAGACACTTCATTTTGTGTGATCTGATACAGGTATTAATAAAGAATTAAATTTTTTCCTTAGGTTGAAATTCTTGCCTCACTTCAAAAGCCAAAAAAGATCACCTTAAAAGGTTCAGATGGGAAATGTTACATTATGATGTGTAAACCAAAAGATGATCTAAGAAAAGACTGTCGGCTCATGGAATTCAACTCCCTTATTAATAAGGTTTGATGAGTTAGTCAATGAGATGCATTATAATTATTGACCAGAACAAAATGCTGAACTATGTAACAAAAAAAACCCAACAACTTACCTTCAGATAAAGCACACCAGTTAAAGGAAAACTTTTGCAAAATATCTTATTTCAGAAATCAATAGTAATTGACAATGTATAACTTATTACGGACTTGTGAAAACAATAAGGAAATGCAATGTTTTGCCAAAACAATTAGTTATTCCAGAAAAAATATATAGGAAAGGTTATTTACATTCCATAAAAAACTGCAAACTTTCTGCTGTTTGTTACTTAGGATTTTCTGATTTCCTTTAATGAGAAGTAGGTAAATTCATCTTTTCATACTAGAAGTGTTGCCACACTTCTTAATTTAGGTATATTTGACTTCTCAGCAATATGCTTAAGGTTAAGGTACCATGTTTTCCATGAGGTTAAAGCAAATGATAGCTTTTCTGAAACACCAAAACATATATTTCAAATACTACTTTCAAGGCATTTAAGCAACGTACAAGCTATATACAGTTTGACTATTTTATTACAAAATTATCTTTTTTAATTTACTGTGGAGAACAGATGAGCATTTTGCTTGCATTTGCAGATAGAGAAACTTGGAATTTTAAATTCTAAATAGTGATTGGAAAATACATATAGATGGAATGGTTAATGTTATTGATACATTTTGATTCTATCTATGTTATCTATTAATCTCATTTTTCTTTGTGAATAGTGCTTAAGAAAAGATGCAGAGTCACGTAGGCGAGAACTCCATATTCGAACCTATGCAGTTATTCCGTTAAATGATGAATGTGGCATAATTGAATGGGTGAACAATACTGCTGGCTTAAGAAATATCCTGATAAAGCTTTACAAGGAGAAAGGTAAAGAAATGTCTTAGACTATAGTGATATTTTATTTTATTTTATTTTATTTTTTTTTTTTAAAGGGCTTGTGTCTTAATTAGTAAATGAGACAAACAGCAAAGATCACAATAAATTCTAGGAAGATGCAGTCACATGTGTTTTTAACTATCTGCAATATATTATTTTTCATGAATGTGGTAGGCTTTTAAATGAAAGAGAATTGGTGTTCTTTATGAGAACTGATAATAAAATCATCTTAATACATTCTTTAATGATGTAAATCATTTCAGCAGCAGTGCCTACAGCACGGGAATGTGTGGACAGCACTGAATAATAGAAAAGTCTTATGGACATTTTCTTTAGATTCGATTTGCTGTTTTTCTTTTCTCTTACATTTGTGTGAAATAAAGAAGATAATTTATAATTGAACCAAGGTTGAGGGTACAGCAACTTTCCAGGGAAAAGATCAAATTTCTTTTGAATTTCTTGTTAACAAAGCAACTTTCTGGTGAGTGAAATAAAATTGGGGGGGGAAATTTTACACCTGATCTGCATGTATGCAGGTGTGTGGGAGTTTAGTACTCCAAACATCTCAGCTGAATATAATGAATGGCTTTGTGAGGGTGGGGATTTTTTGTCTGTGTGTTTCCTCCCGCTCCACACCATGGTGATTGGTAAAACTGGTGTCTTGTAAACAAGTTCTTCTCTTGCAGATAAAATTATAGTTTTTTTTAATTTAGTTATTTATTTTCCAGTACACCACCACCACAATGTTCTACATGTTATTTTCCATTTGTTCATCTATTTCAACTTCATGGAGATGTTTATCTTTTCTAAAATACCATATTGTAATAGTATTTATAAAACTTTGTATTTGGGGTTTTCTTTTGCCTAATTGTGAGGTCTGTTACAGGTATCTATATGACTGGAAAAGAATTGCGTCAGCATATGCTTCCAAAGTCAGCACCTTTGTCTGAAAAGCTGAAGATGTTCAAAGAAGTCCTTCTGCCTCGTCATCCTCCTCTCTTTCATGAATGGTTCCTTAGAACATTTCCTGATCCTACTTCATGGTGAGTGACTGGGATTGGGCTAGTTCAAGAATACCTACTTTGTGTATTTCACTAAACATTAATGATACTACTGGATAAAGGCAGGTAACCCAAGGAAGTGACTTAGACATATCTGATTCTTATTTCCGCAGGTATAATAGCAGGTCGGCCTATTGTCGCTCTGTTGCAGTTATGTCAATGGTAGGTTACATACTTGGTCTAGGAGACCGTCATGGTGAAAACATCCTATTTGATTCTTTGACTGGTGAATGTGTGCATGTGGATTTCAACTGCCTTTTCAATAAGGTAAGAAATACCACTTGCTGAACTTGCTCCTTATTTTACATTCATGTAAGGTATGAATTTCTATGTCTTGGGGTTTTTTACTACTTTTTTTTTCCTTTAACATATCTTGTGTCATCTCTCACACTTTGTTTCTTGTTTATACTCAGTAGTCTGGGATACGTAGAATATGTGATTGTTCTGTACACAGCATTAATGAGAGCCAGCTTTTTGATTTAGCCAGTATCAGATGAGTTGATGTGGATACATGAAAATAGCACAAATTTTAGAATGTTTGTATTTTATGACTCTTCTTTCTCCTCTACCATCCTCTAAACAAAGCTGTAATTGCTATATTCAGACTTCTGCTGCTGTGAAGAGCTTCTTTGGTTTTTTTCCCCACAAATTCAGCACAAAAATTCAAAGGGTACTGTAAAAATGAACAGCAGAATTTGTGGCTAGAGTAGGATTGTTTTCTGGTGAAAGATGCTGTTGGTGTGGGACATGTGCCCTTTTTAATTCAGATAAATGAGGTAGAGATAGACTTACTAAAAAGAAAGCAGGAGAAATAAACTAAATTTTCCTACATATCCCTTAATTTAAGAAATAATTGTTTTTAAGCTTAGACATTTGTTAAAAAGTTAGCATTTTGCATGAGTCTACAGAGCAACAATATATATTTCAAACAAAATTTTATATCCTGTATTAAAACGGGGCGGGGGGGGAAGGTTATTTGGACATTGGTATCCTTTATTCACTGTAATTTCCTGTTTACAGCTGAGAAAGCCTGTGATTTGAGCAAGTATCTCTTGTCAGATAGGAAACTGTCACTGGCAAAGATGGGGAAAAGCCTAAAAACAATCCAAATGTTACCTTTTATTTTGATAATGCTAAAAATGCTTGGGGCATATCTTTTTTTTTTTTTTTTTTTTAATCAATGTAAAGGGAGAAACTTTCGAAGTTCCGGAAATCGTTCCTTTTCGTCTCACTCACAACATGGTTAACGGAATGGGTCCAATGGGAACAGAAGGTCTCTTCCGAAGAGCTTGTGAAGTCACAATGAGGCTTATGCGTGATCAAAGGGAGCCTCTAATGAGGTAGGGCAACTGCTTTTGCTACAAAGTCTGAAAAAGCTACCCTGTAGTCTAAACATCTGAAATTATAACTGCTGATGTCTACGTCAATTCCAGCACATGCCTATCATGCAGCTCAGTCTTATTATGGTATCCAGTTACATAGAAAATAATACAAATATTCAGTGCTAATTTTAGACTCCTGTCAGTGGTTTTGTTTTGGAAATTAAATGTATTATATGTATCATCCTTTTTCATTTTTAATTTATTTAGTGTCTTAAAGACTTTTCTCCATGATCCTCTTGTGGAATGGAGTAAACCTGTTAAAGGGAATACAAAAGCACAGGTGAACGAAACTGGAGAAGTTGTCAATGAAAAGGTTAGTTTAAAACAAGTGTGGCATAAGGTACCTAAATGTCAAATGTCCATTATGGTTGCAAGTTATGTATTTTCTAAATAAAACTTGCTGTTGTTTTTTGTGTTTTTTTTTTCTTTCTTTCATTTTATTTTCCTCTGGTTGATTATCTCTGTTCATAACTTTTATCCATAAAGAGACTATTTTTGTTGATAGAAAATGTAATTTGTCTGCTAAAGAACCAAACAAAAGAGAGCTTATAATTCTCTTAGTAGTGTTGCTAAATCAAGGACATCAACAGAAGCAATGGGTTAGGCGAGACTCTTGCTATTCCTCCCTCCGACTATTGCACAGTCCTCTGGATTTACAGAGATAATAGCATCTGGAGTTCTTTCCATGTGTATTTTTGTGCTTTTCATGAGTGGATATTTATTATTGAATAAGTACGTGCCTTGTTACATGTCAAGGAATTCTTGGTTTAAATTAGGCTTTCATATAGACTGTTTCTCTTGTAGCTGCTGATACATACTGTATTGTTCATCCAAAATATCGCTTGCACAACTTATTTACTCTCTTTCCTCTTTGTACAAATTCTGATTTGTCTCTTTTTGCTTTAAAAGGAATATTTAGTGAACATAATCATGTGTAATATCAGTGCTCCCCAGGCTTTATCTGCTAAATTCTGCAACTACGATAAGGACAAATTACAAACAACTGAGCTATTTGAGCAAAGAAAATCTTCTGGTCTTGAAACAATTATCAACCAGGCTGTGTCTATGTTTCCTTTGTTTTAGCTACAGGACCACCCCACATAGTTATACAGGTTAACTGTTATTTTCTAGATAGGTGCCAGTGTTATGCTTGAGCTTTAAAAGAAACTATGTTAATTTATTTGGTGTGAACTAGCCGCTCTAGTGGGCCTCAGAAGAGCTCATTTGAGTTACTCAGCACAACCTCTTGTTAGACTTCTCCATTTCCAGTTGCTCATACGTTTGGTCTAAATTTTCTAGACTAGATGTCTTCTTTAATTTTATCTAGAATTCCAAGAAAAAGGCTGAAAGAATTTTGCACTTATTTGAAAGTAATTGTACGAAATAAAGCATTCTAATGCTACATGTGCATAGCTTTTAGAGCCTTCTCTGGTAAACTTTATCTAAAAATGTAAGGCAAAAGTTATAATCTGACCAATATTGTATCATTTTTTTTAGAAGTGAATATCCTTTATTTTAAAAGTAAGTGGTATAGACATCTGGGTTTTATTTTAAATTAGCATACAGATTTCAAACACATCCTAATAAATGCCGTTTTATTTTAAGAAGTGGAAAATCATGGATAGTAGCAATATTTATTTTTCTCCCCTTTTTCTTTGTTTCCAGGCCAAAACCCATGTCCTTGACATAGAACAACGGCTGCAAGGTGTCATTAAGACTAGAAACAGAATAAAAGGATTACCCTTATCTATTGAAGGGCATGTTCACTACCTTATTCAAGAAGCAAGTGATGACAACCTGCTCTGCCAGATGTATATGGGCTGGGCTCCATATATGTGAAATTTGTTCACTTTCGAACATCTTTTAAAAGAGATGTAGCTATAATATTCTTGAGAAGGTACTCATCAGTGATAATTGGTTACTTCTGTAGATTTCTGACTGTACCCAGCAGAACAGTCTTAAAATCAATCTGAAATACGTGTAGAGTATACAATGCATTTGCAGATGTGTAAGGTGTGACTTATGCTTAAAAATTAGACTGCAAGTTCAGCTAACTCTGTGTTATACTCTACTGTATATTCTTGTAAAGATTTTTCTCATTCAGCTTATTTGTAGATTAGAAAATCTGACATTAAAGTTTTTATACTGATAAGATGGTTCTTTCAACTTTTTCCACTCATAGTTCAGAAGGACTTTCTAAAAATAATCAGTATTTCTTTTCAGCAGTAGACCTTGAATTTTGGTTTCCTTTGACTTTCTTCCATATGGCCCAGCTATGTGTAGAAAAGCATTTGATATCTTAAATCTTACTGGTAAAGTGTTACAATGTTCTGAAGCTGTTTCCTTAGCCCTTGCCTGCTGTAGGAAGAAAACCTTGTGAAGGAGATTAACAAAACTGAAGGTTAGAGGACCATGGTGGTAGGTCTGTGACACCAAGGGGGCAGGCAGGCTGTGGGTGTGTCTGTGTGTTCAGCGTCCATTCAGGCTTCTGGGAGTTCTGGACAGGCCCTCACTTCCTCGCCTTGTGAAGAGTGACTACGCTGTTTTTCAGACTGTTTCAGAAAAAGTGTTTTGACATGGACAAGAATAGACTTAACTTAGGATGGTCAGAAGGCATGTGCTAACCTGCAGTAATGCTTTGTTCTCTAAGCACCCAAACTGTAGGGAAAGGAAAAATTATACTCTTTTACTCTATGGTAGGATATTAGAATTTTTGCATGGTATTTTTGTTTCTGCTATTCTGAGAGGCAAACAATGTGATTAGGTTTTGATCACGGTGATGCTGTCACAAGACTTGAGTATTAGTTCAGCTGAACTCCAGGCACTTTGTAAATTTAAATAATGAGTTAACAACTGGTTACAGTGGTGTTTTTTCTCTGTAATCCTCTGACAGTCTTGTCACGGTCTCATAAATCTGAAGATTTTTCCTGGTAAGATCTTTGGAACGTACTATGCTGTTTTCTGTTACGGTGTGTGCGAACACTGGAGTTAGGGCGGCCTAATGACCGCAGAGTGACCGGTTGCACCTGGCCCTGCCACGGCAGTTACTGGTTTCCCTCGCACACGGACAGGATCTGCTGCCCGCACACGGACAACAGGATCATAGAGTCATAGACTGGCCTAGGCTGGA